TGCAATGTATTAATCAATTTTAAATTATAATTTTTGAGAGATCCTTACAATTTTAAAGTTATAAAATCTTTTACTCAAACTTTTCATCACTTAAAAATTATAAGGATTTTTAAAAAAAAATTACAGTTGCAGAATTAATTAATACTTTATAAGCCATGGAACAAAGAAGAGCAATGAAAAATTAAAAATTAGAGGGAGCCGTCATCACCGAAACATTAAAAAAGAGAAAATTTTTATCATCCGTAGTATACAAGAAAGACAACTATGATTAAAAAAATTATTGCCATAAAAGTAAACTACAATGTTTAATTGTAAAAAATTTAGATATATACAAAAAAAATTACAAATTTAAGAATGAGCGAGTAATCTTTGCTCAAAAAGAAGAATTTAAAAAAATAATAAAAAAAAATATTTCAAGAAAATTAATAGTAAATTTTGATTAGAAGTGCATCAATAATTAAAAATCGATAAAAAATATCTCAACAATCAAAGAGAAATATTTCAAAATATAAAGATTAAACAAAATATATTAAAAAGTATTCTAACAAGATAAATTTGGTACTTTTAATTTTTATTTTATTTATTAGAGAAAAAATGTTAAAAGTTAATATAAAAATTATAATTTATTTTATTTATTAGTTTAAATTCGAATAAAAATTATTTTTTAATTAAATTTTATCTATATTTATCTTTTTAATATTATGTAATTAGTGAAAACTTATTTTTTAAAAAATTTAATTTATATTTATCTTTTAAATATCATATAGTTAGTGATATCTTACTTTTAAAAAATTAGTTTATATGTAACTCTATTTAAAAGTACACTAAATTGTTAATTTTTCAGTCAATGTAAATTTAAATTTTTTTCATCTAAAAAAACTCTATCAGAAGCCACTACTGCACAGCAGAGCCTTGGTACTCTCTGGCCATACAGTTGGCAGCTGCACAGCAGAGACTTTGGTACTCTCTGGCTATACATTGGCAGCAGAGACATCAAAAGAAGAGGCGAAGATTCAATTACAACCATTAGCATTTGTTATCTCCCTTCAAAGAGCTCGAAACATGCAGGATTTACAGAGAAAACATGTAAAATAAAAATGAAGTTGTTAGCTTATGATAATTACAAAGAAGTATACTCACTGCAATAGGCAAAGTCATTGAGATCAAGAGTCACCCTACCTTGCTTTATCAAATGAATTAAAAAGATTCTGGGAAAAAAAATGAATGAGGCATAACGATTGTGCTGAGTGCATTTAACATAAGTGGTGCCAAATAATTCTAATTTGTTTCAGGCAAAAATAGTGCATAGTCAAAGACTGCATATGCATTCAGCATTGTTTTGGTGTGTTGATCTGTGCCAATGTTTGAAGCATCTAGTTGAACCATGACAAAGATATTTAAATTAATAAGAAATACAAACCCATTCAGAGGTGCATTTGACCACAGAAATTATTACTAGGAAGCATATTGCACTAACTACTAACATAATATGACAGCTATATGTAGATTTAGGTGATACCATGCTGAGCAGATTGCAAAAATATACAAAGGGATATGAAGTCATCCGACAAAATAGTCCATTCTTCTTCTGATCAAAGATCTCAGAAGATACAAATTTTAACTTGATCAGACTGCTAGGTTCTCAGATACATGCAATATAGAGTCTGGTACTCTAGGATACTTAAAAATAGGTTACAGTAGGAAAAATCAGAAGCAGACCTACCAAAATCTAATTGAAGGAAGAGCCAAACAGATCAAACCTCTATAGCATCATGAAATTGAATTAAGAACAGCAAATCGGTTAAACCAAGGTGAAGTATACACCACATGTAGAAAATCACCACATTTTCCCAACCCTGAATTTTGTAGAAAAACACTTGCTTTAATCTTTTGCCAACATATATACATATACGCAATAGCAAAAAGATAATAGCCTTACCTCACATGCTGGTAAAAAGCAGGAGAGTCCAAGGAGAAACCAAAATTTACCAATGCTTATTAAAACAAAATTTAAAAAAAAAAAAAAAAGAAGAAAGCCAACAATAATAACATGAGAAACCAGGAAAGAGAACAACTGGCCAAAAAAAAAGAGCAAACGCAGCTTGAAAATATTTAAAATTTCTTGATTTAGATTAGAGAATTAAGATTTAAGCTACCTCATAAACATCATCAGTAACAGGGTACCTGCAATTCCTGAAGAAATGGTACCAGTAAATGCAAGAGTCTTTTAGTATAATGTTTAGGAAATATGATCTACAATGCTGTTCATTAGTGCCAAGAAGGAACCAAAGTTCAGTCCTAAAGTGTATACTGATAAAAAAAAGTGAACATAGAAGTGTTCACATTGCTGGTCATCACAGCAACGAAGTATTATTTCAAGCATGGCATTGCTTTTTAAAGATACTAACAGCCAAAGATAGTTTATATTGTCAAATGCAAAACAACAGATAGTCAAACTAAAAGAAAGGAGATGAAGACACAACTGTTATACACTTTTCGGGCCTCTAACTAATTCAATTTGTTACTTAAACATTTCAAATGCGATAAGATAGAATTGGAAAGAAAAAAAAAACATATAGAAACACAACTGTTATGCACGTTTCAGACACAATTTACACACATTCACAAGGTAAAGTAGACATGCTACAGCTACAAGAACTGGAAAGAAAAAAAAAACAACCAACCAACCAATACAGCAGCAAAAAAGACGATGACGGAAAAGGGAAGAGTGTAAAATTTGACTGTAATAGGAAGGCTATCAGTAAAATGGAAATGGATTATCTTTCCAAGTCTGAGAAGGCATGTCGGACCTACAAGGCAACCAAGTAAAATAAATTAATTTGTACAATGTGCAAAAGTTCCTATGTAACAACTAAACAAGTGAAAGCTCATACTCTAACAAGACATATACTAATGGCTGGCATTTTGGACACATAACATCAGCATAGTTCAACTTATAACTTATTAAAATTAGTTGTCAGTCCCCTCTATTCCTCCAGACATGTTATGAGTGGACCACAAGTGAAAGGATTGAACAGAGTATTACAACCTCCTTCACTATTCAATTAACTTGAGACAATTTCGCTTTGTTTGTGCAACATTTGTGCAACTACCGAATGGTCCCCACCGTTAGCAGCCAATCAATGCCACTGCTTTTATTATCCAAGTCAGCTCTTAAAATAGCAATAAGTTCATGATCCAGTAAATAAGCTACTTTCCTGGCAAGAACAAGAGCAAGAAGAGCATCCTCAAACAATGTCTGACACCTCCTTCCCCACCACATTTTTGCCCCGTTAAAGGTTTCCAAACATTGACATTCCAACAACCCTTAGCTGGAGGCACCTAAGACCTATGTGCATGCCAAAACATTTATCCATTCAACTTAGACAAAAGCATGAAAAAGACCCCACTTCTAACATCCTCATCTATGTTCTCAGTTGGAAAAAATATTATTATTTCTTTCATATTTCTTCTAATAACATCAATGATTGCAACCAAATGGAATTAGGGTAAAATCTTTTCAACTTGCATTTGCCATTACCACCCAGTTCGGCTTCTCTCTTCTTCTTTCCTCTCTCCTTTTGCCTTGTATGAATTAAAAGTAAGTACCAAAATTCCTTATTGTTGAAGGACATGTTAAACATTCTCCCCATATATTAGACCACGAGAAAAGAACTGCCAACAATTGATACCTATTCTCCTTTCAAATCAATAGGCAATTATCCTTCAACTCAAACTCAGAAATCAAAATTTAAGAGTAACAGATAAAACACCTGAGTAAATAACTAACCTTGAGAAGAAACTTGCTGAGCTCGACAAATCCTATAGTTAAAACATACAAAGCAAAAAACCAACCAGTTTTTGACAAAATTAAATCGCAATTCCATTAAAATGAATCAAATTTGAAAGACGTAATTTACACCAAAGCGTAACTGAAACTAAGCCAAAAAAGAACTCACAACAAAATGCCAGTAAAAGATTAAATAACCTTCAAAGCTCATGGTGCCATTTGGGTCAAGATCATACATCCTGCAGTAATGCTGCGAACACATCAACACAGCGTAGAAAGAAATTCAGGTTGTCGACAGAAAAAAGCAACCGGAACAACGAAAGGCATGCCCCTTTTTTTTACTAGTTTAGACATGTATATTGGATGTGAGACGAAGAGAGAGAGTGGAGCTAGAACGAGGAGGAGAGTGGAGAAAGAAAATAAACCTTGAGCTTAGTGGCCGTAATGCTTCCGGTTTTCTGTGAGTCAACTCGCTCAAACCACTGTCTCAGAATCATCGTGTTCTACATTTTTTGCCCACGCGATCAACGGAGAACGGGTAGGGAGACGAGAAAGCGAATACATATTTCTTACCTTTGAAACGACAGCGTTCTGGATCATATTTAATTTTGATTATTATATTATTCACGGAAAATTAATTTGTGCCGAGGATCTATTTTACGATTAGATAATTCTTTTATAATTTAGTTTTGCAAATTTGAAGAATTATTCGAAACGCTATTTTATAACATTTTGACGTAAATAGAAGAAATTCATTCTTCTTTAATAAATATTTACGTCTTAATTAGTCAAAAAAAAATTCAAGAAAGATAAAAACTTTCTCTCTCATATTCCCAAATTAGTTTTAGATTGATGTGAATGTTTAATGTTCACAATAATTTAAGTTCTTAATTGTAACGCTCTATTTTTTTTTTCTATTTTTCTACGGCGTAAGATAAAACAATCTCGTGACCCAACACGTAAATCTAATGCCAATTGCATCACACATAAAAAAAACTTGTCCACAGTTTATTGTTCACACCCATTGAAAAGTTACAATTCTACATATACATCAAATGACAACACTATATCCCACATCTCCAGAAATCAGTATTCATACTAAGATAACCTTTTACAGACTACAACCCACCACAAAGAAAACTCTCGCCCTATGGCGCTAAAGACTAGGCTACGTAACCAGCAACTCAGATTCTGGCTCCATCTCTACTATATCTGTTAACGACAAAAAGTGAGTTCACATAACTCAATACGATAAAAATCAAGTTGCAGGTATAATATGCAGTGACAGGAAATTTAGTATGTTTATATGCATTTCTCATGCACAACCCAAATCGT